GAGCAGGGAGCCCGATGTGGGACTCGATCCCAGGACTCCAGGATCATGACCTGAGCCGAAGGCAGTCACTTAACCAACTGAGCCACCCAGGCGCCCCTAGACTTGATAGTTTCAATACCTACTCTAGACCTTTTCCATCCTACGCACCCACACACCTCCTCGTCAGAGGGTGCCTCTTCAAAGTGTCCCCAGGTCAGAGGAATGCATGACTGCTGCAAAAATCCCAACTGCTGTTCTCGGTGTCTTTCTCTCCCTTTCCTTCCCTCCCTGGTTTTCCTCACCACCTCCCCCATTTAATTCATCATCACATCCTGTTGATTTTAATCCTTAAGTAGATCTTGAATCTCTTCTTCATCCTTCAGGAATCTCTTCTTCATCCTTCAGGAAACAACCGACAGTTTAACCTTCCAAAAAATTATTGAAATTAGGAAATTTCAGGACTCATAACCTGAGATGTTTTGATCAGACCTAGATTTCTTCCTCCCCTGACTCTCCCTTAATGTTGAGACATAGATCACATACTTAACCTGCCATGTTAGTGACATCATTTTAACTAGAAGAATCTCATAGGGTCTACACATTTTACAACTGCCTACTGACTCTTCCCTGAGTATAGGATATCACAAGTGAGACGATCATTAAGATTATTTGGAAGACAGTATTAAGAAAATTATTTGGGGAAGTATTTTCTAGTTATTGGAGGATCTAATTTAAAGTGAAGTCTGACAAATGCTAATTTTCAGGTTGGAAGTCTTTAAAATTGTAGTAACAAAACCCAAATATAAGTAACATTTTTGTTGTTTGAAATAAATTGTTAATAAATACTTGGTCTTCTGACTCTGCCACACCCTTCCCAGTAAAAACAAAGAAAATTTCCTCCCCTACTCTTTCCCTTGTGAGCAAATCATGCCTTAGTCCAGACACTTGCTTAAGCAGAAAAATCCAGAAATTCTTAATGTATTTTTTCCTTACCTTCCTTCTCTTTCTTCTTCACCCACTGCCCCCATCCAATCCATCACCAAGTCCTACTGTTTTTACCTTTTAGACAGATCTTGAATCTTTTTATTTCCATTACTCTCACCCTATGCCAGGTTACCATCATCTCTCAATTTGACCATTGCAGTTGTCCCCTTAAATATCTACATTTCCTGGGGCGTCTGGGTGGCTCAGTCGTTAAGCCTCTGCCTTTGGCTCAGGTCATGATCCCGGGGTCCTGGGATCAAGCCCCGCATCGGGCTCCCTGCTGGGTGGGAAGCCTGCTTCTCCCTCTCCCACTCCCCCTGCTTGTGTTCCCTCTCTCACTGTGTCTCTCTCTGTCAAATAAATAAATAAAATCTTTAAAAAAAGGGGCGCCTGGGTGGCTCAGTTGGTTAAGCAACTACCTTCGGCTCAGGTCATGATCCTGGAGTCCCGGGATCGAGTACCGCATCGGGCTCCCTGCTCAGCAGGGAGTCTGCTTCTCCCTCTCCCGCTCCCCGCTCTTCTGCTCTCTCTCTTACTCTCTCTCTCAAATAAATAAATAAAATCTTTTAAAAAAAAATCTTAAAAAAAAAAAATCTACATTTCCTGGGGCGCCTGGGTGGCTCAGTCAGTTGAGCATCTACCTTCGGCTCAGGTCATGATCTCAGGGTCCTGGGATCGATCCCCACATTGTCGGGCTCTCTGCTCAGTGGGTAGTCTGCTTCTCCCTCTCCCTCTGCCTGCTTGCTCGCTCGCTCTTTGACAATGAATGAATAAAATCTTTTTCAAAAAATCTACATTTCCTTTCATGCCCTCCTCCAACTATTCTCAGCAGTCAGAATGATCTTTTTGGAACTTAAAATTTAAAGCCTTTAATAGCTTCCTATTACATTTAAAATCCAAAAATTCTTAATGGATCCACTGAGCCAGTATATAATCTGGCGCCTGCCCATCCTTCCATACTCAACTCACACATTCCCTGATTTTTACTGTGTTCCAGTCTCCTCTACCCCTTTGGACTTTCCAAGCTCGTTTCTGTTTCAAGACCACTTTTTCTGCTCATTCCTCTTTCCATTCTACTCTTTGTCTGACTAATGCCTACACATTCTCCAGGTCTCAGATTCCGTGTCACTCCTTTCCTGACTCTGTAATCTATGTCAATTTCCTTCTTATACCTTATACTTTTCCTTCATGACACTTGATGTGGTCACCATGATTTGTATTTATTTCCGTGATACATGTCTAATGGCTTTCTTCCCCCTAACTTTCCGTTTTCTCCCTTAACCCTCCAATCTCCTGTAAACTCTCAGATAGACCTTACCTCTTTTGTTCCCACTGGATCTTCACTGAGTACCTATAAACACAGTAGATCCTTGTTGAATAAATTAAAGAATCAAGTTAATTGTGCTTCACATTCTTGTATTTTTAGTGATCCTCCATCTTAAAATGATTTGGGAAGTGCTTTGGAGGATGCCAAGAGCATAACTGCAATATTGTGATAAATCAGACCCTAAGAATGTTTAAAAATAGAAATCTGTTTTTTTTTCGTGTAATTCTATTCAGTATATCCCTCTTTGGTTAAGGCTGATTATAACTATAATTCTCTCTTGGTTCTTGTCATAGACGAAAAAGGCGTAACTTCAGTAAACAGGCCACAGAAATCTTGAATGAATATTTTTACTCACACCTCAGTAACCCCTACCCCAGTGAAGAAGCCAAAGAGGAGCTGGCCAAGAAATGCAGCATCACAGTGTCACAGGTGAGAGGACACCGTGGGTCTGTCTTGTTTCCCTGTTGATATAGGAACCCTATTCTTTCCTCAGGGTATCACCAAATTTCAGATCCATGTGTTCCATCATCAAAGAAGATAAAAAGAAAATATAGATATTCCCACATTTTTATGCAAGCTTTTAAAGCTTAGGTGATTTTTTTTTTTAAGTCCTAAGTGGCAAGGAATCAAGATAATCAGCCACCACCCCAGTGTAAATCTTCTATAGAAAGGACATAAACATGCCATGGGGAGAGACACGGTTTATTCTTAAGTGACTCTTCAGTAAATGGCATGTAGTCCTGCTTTCCCTGATTTAGATGACTGACCTAGCTTCTACCAGTGAGAAACCAATTTATTTGTTGCCGAAAGGAAATTTAATATAACTCTTTGGTGAAAGCTTTGAGGAATTCACTAAGTCTTTTCTTGGTAACCATGCTATGATATTTGGGTCATAGGATTTCTTTGCTTCCTTGTTATTCATTAAACAGAAGAATTAAGTTTATACCTGTCACTGTTTTTTGGGTTGTTGTTGTTTTTTTAACATTTATTTGTAATAAATTGTGACCCTGAAATTAGCTGTCATCATCTTCTAACAAAAATACATTTAGTTTTAGGCAGATAGATGGGTATTTAGATTGAGGATTGGAGACAAACAAATGAACAACTGTACGTCCTTATAAAATAAGTATATTTTACTGGCATTAGCTCTAAAATATAATTTTATTTAAATACTTATATTGTTGTTTATAGATTGACATCGAGATAGCTTTTCTTTATAGCACGCAAATGTGGTAATTGCCAACCAGCTATTGCAGTGGAACTTAAGGAAAAGCTGACCCTTGGCAGAAATTTCAATATTCCCTTTTGGTCATGGGTCACAAAAATTTTAAAGTAGTTTATAAATAAATACTGCTGCTGTACATCTGAAGTCCAAGATGTTAAAGATCCCCTTCAGATTCCACTGAAAGTTTTATATCAGTATTTTAAGTCATTGTTCTTTAAGGGATTAGAGTCTGGGTTTGAGATGATTTCTAGCTTCTGTTTTGGCATTACTTTCCATAGAACCTCTAGAACAATCTTTGGTTTATAATTAAGCTATCATTTAAGAGTTAGTGTCATTCTCTTACGAAATAGTGGCTTATCTTGATTCCTCTTGCCCAGTTTGAAATGGAATGTAGTTGATTTGAGTTACCAACTTCTGAAGATGTATATAAAACATTCCTGTCTGGGTTATATAGTACTCACTGCCACTTAAACTATTAAGGAACAGTATAATGTGCTGGGTCATATGGGGAAGATGAAATTAAGTGGGTGTTTTTCTGGTGTGTGCATTTCCCCTGAACATTAGTGAAAGGATTGGGCTCATGCTAAACGCCAGTTGATGATGCCGAGCCCCATTTTCAGGCTCTCCCAACAGCTCTCTGACTTCAGAATTCAAATGTTTGCAGGTCCAATTTCAATTAAGGTGTTTTCATGCCTCTGCTTCTTTTTTACTTCCTTAACATAGTTACCATTGGAGAATAACACAGATTATATACATTTTTTGAAAGTGATACGATCCTGACTTTTCATTAGTGTAGTACTAGCATTTTGTGTCTAATGTAGGACTTGCCTAACACATGCTGTGTAATAAGTGGGAGAAAAGTTTCCTTCTGACTGCTCCGAACCAGGAAGGTTTTGCTCTACTTCTAAAATAGGCTAGGAACACATTACTTAGTTTTTAAAGTACATTACTATATTCATTTCACTTATTTTCTGATAGACAAACAGCTTTGTTAGGTTAAAAAATTTTTTTTTTGGTAATTGCTTCAGACATGGAAATAATAGAGACTAAGATTAGTCTGTCTACAAAGCAGACTTGCTGACCTTTTTTCTCCCAGTTCAGCCTTTCAAATGCAGAATTTCAGGGATCTGTTTAAGCATTAAATTGTGACAATTTCCTCCCCTCTTACCCTTTTCCTGCCTAAAGAAGTTAATTTCCCCTCAACAATTCCCCTCCTACACATCTCTGAAGTGGGAACAATGATGTTATCATTTTAAGTATTAGACATCAATTGCTAGCCTTATAAATTAGTGCCCTGTTATTTAAGTTGTTTAGAAATGAAACCAGAGAATGTGCCAGACCTGACAGGTTAACTACTTTCTAAAGAGAAAAAAGCATTGTTTAAAATATACATCATACTAAAATAAATTAAATTTAGAATCTAGAAATCGTTCATATACAAAACCAACTTAAAAAAATTGAAATCCAGTGAAAACAGGCAATTGTAGAAACACAATTTTTGCTAGATTTAGGGTATATGAAACTGATTTATTCTTTATTGCTTAAAATAATAATTAAGAATAAGTAAGGAACTTTCAAAAGAAAATGTAAGGAAATATCTTTAGTACTTTGAGGGTAGGAAAAAATTTCTTAAAAAGACCATAAAAAGTATAAACAACAAAGGAAAAGATTGATAAATTTAGTGGTAAGATGTTTATCAAAGTACTTAATAAAGACTGAAACATCAGCATTATGTAACTATTTTGGTAAAGACTGGATCAGGCAGGAATCATCAGTAGATATTAAACCTAGGGAGAAATTTTGATGAAGAAGATGGTCTTCAAGCGGCTCTCCATAGGCCCTTTGTTAGTTGCAAGGGTTAAAAAAAAAAAAAGCGATTATAGAGTGGAGAAATGGAACAAAACCCTGATCAGGTGATTAGAAGCAACATCACCAAAGAGGGACAGGTGGACATTGTGTGTAGTGTTTCATCCAAGAAAGTAACCTGAATCTAATCACTAGAAAACATCAGACAAACAAAATGAGGAGTGTTCTGTTAGGGAAAAAAGGAGGATGGGAGCAGTATTCTTGAAAAATGTCAGAGAAAGGCCATGGAAATGTTTTACACTAAAAGAGGATAGAGACGTGACAGGTAAACGCAATACCTGACCCTAGACTGGATCTTGTACTGAAGGGGAAAAAAATGCCGTAAAGGATATTGGGTTAAGTTTATCTAAGTCAATTAGAATTTGTAATTGTACTACAGTTCTATAAGAGAATATTTCTGGTCTTAGGGAATACACATTGACTTACATAGGGATAAAGGGCCATGACGTATATAATTTACTCTCATATGGTTCAGGAAAAAAGTGTGCATGTCTGTGTGTTTATATATGTGTGCATGTATATATATAAACACATACACACAAACATGTATAAACACAGAGGGAGAGTGTGCATGCATGAGTACACACAGATGATAAAACAAATGGGGCAGAATGTTTAATAACAGGTGAATATGAGTAGAAGGCATACACAGATGTTCTTTGTACTGTTTTTATTTTTACAAGTTTGAAATCATTTCCAATAAAACCTTTTTTAAAATGTGAAGACAGCCCACAGACTGCAAGAAGGGATTTGTAAGTGTATAAGCAAGATGAAAATCCAAAATACAGAAGGAATTCCTATAAATTAATAAGAAAAAAAGAACATATTTGAAAAATAAACAAAAGACACAAATAAGGACCTCACAGAATAATATATTCAATTATATGAGAAGATCCTTATTAATAATCAGGAAAATGTGATTCAAGAACCGCAATGAAATAATATTTTACGTATCCTGGGTTGTGGAAGAAAATCCTAAATTTGACCATTCCAAGCCCACACATTGTTGGCAAGAATATACTGTAGCAGGAACTCTTAAATATTCTTGGTAGGAATGTAAATGGGTATAGCTACTTGGAAAACTTTCGGCATTATCTTATAAATTTGAACATACCTATACCGTTAAATCCATAATTTTACCTCTAAGTGAAATTGCTCTAGAAAACTTCTTGTGTATGTATATCAGGAGACATGGGTAAAAGCATTCATTGTAACATTGTTTGAAATGGTAAAAAACTTGAAGTAAGATAGTTGCCCATTGATTGGGGAAATGGATAAATCCGTTGTGGTATAATCCCATTACAGGTTACTATATAGCCATGAAAAGGGATGATCTACAACTACATACCCCCAATTTGTTGTTGTTGTTTTTTTAAAGATTTTATTTATTTATTTGAGAGAGAGAGAATGAGAGACAGAGAGCACGAGAGGGAAGGGGGTCAGAGGGAGAAGCAGACCCCCTGCTGAGCAGGGAGCCCGATGCGGGACTCGATCCCAGGACTCCAGGATCATGACCTGAGCCGAAGGCAGTCGCTTTACCATCTGAGCCACCCAGGCGCCCAACATACACCCAATTTGAATGAATCTCAGAAACATAGTAATGAGTGAAAAATGCAAATTGCAGAGGATGAGACTCCTGATCTCAGGGTCATGTGTTCAAGCCCCATGTTGGGCATGGAGCCTACTTTATGTATTTATTTATTTTTAAATTTATCTTAGAGAGAAAGAGAGCACAAGCAGGGGAGTGGGGAAGGGGCAGGGGGAGAGGGAGAAACAGACCCCCAGCTGAGCAGGGAGCCTGACTCCGGGCTCCATCCCAGGGCCCTGGGATCATGACTGAGCCACCAGGCACCCCGGAGACTACTTTAAAGAAAAAGTTCAAAAACAGGCAAAATTGATCTTAATGTTAAAAGTCAGGATAAAAGTGATTACCCTTGGGAGAATAGTGATTGGAAAGGAGATGTTTCTTTCTTTCTTTCTTTCTTTTTTTATATTTATTTTAGAGAGGGAGAGAGAACGCACGTGCGTGCGTGTACACACAGACACACACACACAGACACACACACACGAGGTTGGGGGAGGGGAGCGGGCAGAGGGAGAGAGAGAAAGAAACTTGTGGGGCTTGATCTCACCACCGTGAGATCACCACCTGAGCTGAAGCCAAGAGTCAAACGCTTAACTGACTGAGCCACCCAGACACCCCTGATGTTTCTTGATCTCAGTGATGGTTTCATGGGTGTCTTCAATTTTTGGAAAATTCATCATGCTCTCTACTGTGTTCCTCTTTTTTGGCATATATATATTTCACTTGACTAAAAAGTTTACTACTTACACAACA